TCAAAATAATTTATTATCCATGTTTTCTGTTACATATCCAGCAATATTTTTGTTTATTTCCTTGTCCGTAGTTCATTGTCCACATAAAACGAATTTATACGCGCATTCATTTGATAATCACACTTTTTTACTAAACTAACTGTTGGTATGCGTAGGGAATTTATTCCTATGAAGCAACATCGACTTTATATTGAATATACCCTTAATTTGATACAAGAAGTTATAAATTTCACATCATATAATTTATTTCTATATTTTTCCTAAATAGGCCACTAAAAATTTGTAAATAATATATTATAAAAAAAATAGATTTTATTTATTTAACGTCCATTTATTTATATTTGCGATATATTTTTATGAAACGTTATGTTATTAAGTAATACCAGTTTATGTATTTTTATTTTTTTTTAAACTATTTTATTAAATAATTCAACTTTTTTTCTCATTTTTTTTTTATAAGTTTAGATTGGTTGCATTGTAGAGAGTTGTAGTTCTTGGAAATAAACAATGTTTTTTTTTTAGTTTTCATTGTAAGATTACGAAGAGGGCAAACATTGAAAGATATTTAAAGGAAACGACATCTGCTGCAATATCGATTCGCAAGGATTGTTAGAATGATGGACGAGAAAATGATAAAACTTTTTATTGTCTAATTTTTTTGCGATTGTTGCAATTACTTCCGCGCTTCAAACAGTTGTAACAGTTGTCGCGTTTAATGAGTGATTACCGTTTTCGTCCGATCAGTGGTATTTTCTCTATATACAAAGTGGCAATGCGATACGATACATAAATGCTTGTGTGTATAAACGTTAATTAGCTGAAAGCTGGATTCTGCATTGTACACTATATAAATATCGAGTCTGTAGACGCTTGATTATTTATATGTTATGTATGTGTACGTTTCTATAAGGCACACAAATATGCGTGTATGGGTCAGTAAACAACAATTTATGATTTCAATAAATGTATACGCTATTAAACTATAACTAGTTATTTTAATGCTCATGTAGAAAGTAATCTATAGTTCTTTTCAATGCGCACATAAATCAACAATCGGGAATTACGAATGTATGTATAAAGTGTCTGCATGTAAGTGTATCTATCTCCACATGCAAGAATATATATAGAGAAATACATTTATTTATTTATTTATCTATTTATCTGATAGTTATTCAAATGCGAAGTGTGAAAATATTGAGGTGATTTCAATGCTCGATTAGACGGGCAACCTGTGATCCTTTCAAAACCATACCTTTTGTACCCATTTCAACTAGTTTTTTCCACTTCATTTCCATCGACTTTCAAACGTCAATTTATTTCTTATCCAATTAACTCAACGAATACTTCAATTAAATAGTTGAAATTTCAACATTTTAGTAAAATAAAACTAAATATCAACATATATTAAAAAAATATTAGTATATACATTTTTATACGAAACTTTATGAAAATTTAACAAGATTTTACATCTGATCCTATACTTAACGAATACTTCAATTAATAGTAAAAAAAAATAAGAAAATAAAAATATAAGTACATATATTTTGATTGAAATTTAGTGAGTGAATGAATTATTATTAAACTAAGATTTGTGCAAAAAGTTGTGAAAATTTTTGAATAATTCTATGCTTACTTAACTAATAAATAATAAATATTTTAATATTATTTATTTATTTTTTAAACAATAAAATAATTAATATAAAAGTAAAATGTATTGAAAATTTTAACATTTGAATATTTTAATCAAATAAAACAATAAATATTACAGTAAAATAATTCATATAAAATTTAATGAGTGATTATTTTTTAATTAAAATTACATTTTGTTATGAAAATTTGTTATTAAATCAAGATATTTGCAAAATAAAAGGTCGTAAACATTAATAAGTGATAGTACGCAAATTTATTATACAAAAATTTTAATCAAATTTTAACGATATATAAATTAAAGGTGAAACTCAAATGTCGGACTATTTAATGACTTAATGCCAGTCGGACTCGGACGTTCGTTGACTACGAGTCATCACAGATGGCGCTTGGTACATGCTTTTTCGATGCGGCCACACAACACCACCATCGTTTTCCGAAACGATCTCGAAAGCGTATCGCTTTCAGTTATATAATAAAATTAGTAATAATATGTTTATTGTTTCCTGTGGGCTCACATTATGCATTTACATATTATTGAATCAACAACAATTTTAAATAATATAAGGTAAAATCGTAAAATAAATATGTACGTGCCATTTCGGTGTAATTTTATACGATTTTTTTTTTCTCCAGCCATATATCTCTTTCAATATTTATTTTAAATTGAACATTTGCAGACAAATAACAGTCGATTGCGACATTTCGGCCAAAAAAAAAGAAACGTTACTTTTGAATAAATATATAATATAATTTTTTTTATATATTAAGATTTAGAAAATTGCAGATTATGTAATATAATTTATATTTAAATAATCTGTTTTTTTATATTTCAATTGTATTTTTTCACCAAAATTGATGCAATTAATTTTTTTAGAAATTTAAAGACGTGCCAAAGAGATTTACAAAATCGTTATACATATGAGTTATTTGATAAAAAAAGAAATAAATTATTAATTTTAATTATTTATTTAATTAAATTTGCAGTATTTTTTTCAATTCCATCCTGTGTCGAATAAATTTATTTCCATTGATTTAATTACGTAATGTTCTTATTCAAGTGTATTTGTATATTGCTTTTAATCCTATTTCTATATTAATACTTGATGACATTATTTGTTTATACAATAAACTATTAATATCCATTAAGCAGACAACGAAAATGAATTACGTAAAGTAAAGTAATACAGGAGAACTGTGTATATAATCACTTTCTGGCAATTAAAACCGAGGTGATAGCACATCATTGGCAGAAGAGATTCGCGTTTTATCTGCAAAGTGCTAATGTAAATGCGGTTACAATCGAAAAAAAGATTGAGTTATATATTAAGAGAGCATTCTTCTTCTTGCAAAACCCGAGGATTTATACACTTGCGATTATGTCATCGTCGTCCTTGTCAAAGGGAACGGAACGAATCCGGTGGTTAGATAACACTCTACAGACGGTTTTTACCTTCTTGAACACTACACCATATTCATTTTCGAAATGACACCTGAAATTAATTGCACTAAGACAGAAAACGAAAAAGAAAAGTAAAACCTGACTGTAAATATTCGAATACTTAATATGCATCATGTACAATTGTAAAAACAGGTTGAAAATAGCAATAATTAGTAAATATTTTATATGAAAATGAAACTACTTAACTATTTATTATATAGTATTAGAAAATCATTTATTAAAAATTGTATACTAATTGTGTCTATGATTTTTCTGTTTTATTATAATCTATTTGTAATTTTCGATTGTAATTTTCGTTTTTCAAAATTTATCTATAAATAAATATAAGAATGTAATTTATCGTTCATTTAAGTTTTCTTCATAAATAACTTTAGTTTAATCCGACGGTTCGAGTTATTTTTACTACTGGGAATTGTGACGAATCTGGGTGAATCACTATACTATTTTAAAATACATGAAAAACGTTGTTTTTGTTTCGTTAATTTTAGACTGTCAGGCGAAGTGCAGAAATAAATCCATGGTGTTGATTAGTAATAATAAATTAGAATTAGAATAAAAAAAAGTATTTTTAATTAAACATTTTAACCAAAAAAAACTTTACAAAATATTGAAATAATTAAATTAATGAATTTAAATATTGTATTCCATATTTTTTAAATTTAAACTGTATATTGTTTGTGTGGTATTAATACTAATAATTTCTAATTGACAGTATATAATTTGTTTCTATTTAATTTATACGGAATTATGTTTTTTTTTTAATTTTTAACATTTTTTGTTGAAAATAATATATAATAGGAAACACTTAGATGTTATTTGTAGAGAAAATAAATATTTATAGTTTCCTTTTAGATTCATCAAATAAAATTTGAATATAATAAATTTGTGTTTTCAAAAGTAAATTATAGTTTTATTTTCTAAAATTATATGTTAATATTTTGATTGTACGCTTATTTAATATATAAAAAAACGTATTAAGAAAAAATAAGTTATATAATATTTTCGTACTAAATAAATCTTGTACATGATCTTGTGAATGAAAAAAAAAATAGTTTCAATATTATTACTTTGGTTGGTTTAAAAAAAAATAATGTACAATTTTTTAAATTATTTTTATTAATTATTTATTAGTAAATGTATGTTAGTAAGTAATTTTTTTTTACAATAAATTTTGATTTATTATAAAAGTGTTGCTTTATTTAATCTTGAATTGATATATTATTTAATTGATTTAATTAATTTTTATTTTTATACTTTCCTTGCTATTAAATTACTTATAATACAAGAATTGTTTCGGATTATATCAAAATTATGTAATTTTCTTTGAAATAATATTGAATGTTAATGATGTTGTACAGAAACCGTGCAACTTTCAATTTCATCGGAAAATCAGCGTGTTAAAGCCATTACGGTGAGTAAATAAGTAAATAATAAAACGATATACTTACGTTTGATTGGATAATAGATGCACGCACCTGCATCAGTATGAGTGTGTATGTGTGTGCGAGCGAGGATAATCGATTAGCGATTATGAATTCTTCCGTCCCATTTGGGCCCGTTTTATTGGACTTAACGTCTCCATTAAGCCGTTGTATACTTACGGTTTTGATTACACAGTTGTCTTGTAATGTGAGAGATTATGATAATAAAACGGCTACTTAAAATATTAATAATTTGACAGACTCGAGCGGTCTCCTTTTTATTCGTTTCCGAAAACCGTTTCGGTTCCATGGCAATTCGAGAATTCCGTGGTTGCATTTTATATATGTATATGTATATATAAATATATTTGTATGTATGTATATAAAAAATAAAATAAAATTTATATGTATAGCGTACAATTCACTAAATAAATCTTTTATAATATAGGTAACAAGTAATACTAATAAAAGAAACACTGACAATTAAAAAAATAATAATAATAAAATCTTGTTTTTCTCCATATTATACAATCACTAAGGCAAGATGCGTTTCAGATTCAGTTCGTGCGTTCGTTTTGGGGGATTATTTACAAGGTGTGTAATTGTTTTAGCGCTGCACTGGGTGTTACGTGAGGAGGAAGTCACTGAAGTCCGATTGTTCTAAGCCGTGGTCGGAGAAGTCCGAGTGGAGGAAGTTGGGAAGGGTGCTGGGATCACCGAAATCTACGGGCGAGAGCGACGGTTCTGGGAAGTCGGGGGATGCTAGGAGGGATGAATGGTCAGAGAGCGGCAGGGATTCCCCGTCGGATTCGAGAAGAAGGCAGTCCAGGTCGCTGCAATCAGAGAAGGCCGACTCGATGAAACCGCTCACGTTTCCGGGATCGTTGAGGGCCGCGCTTAGCGAAGAAATGTACTTCATGGCCAGTCGAAGGGTCGTGATCTTAGTGAGCTTCTCGTTGGCGGCGGTGGCTGCTGCGGCTTGCGTCGATGCCATCTGCGGGATGACCCTCCGGAGCGTCTCGAAGGCCTGGTTGATCTCCCTCATCCGGTTGCGTTCGCGAGCGTTTGCAGTCTTGCGTCTGTACTTGCTCAACGGCGCCGGCTTCTGCTTGGGCTTGTGGTTCTTGACTTTCTGGACGGGCGCCGACTCCGGCTTTGTCGCCACTTCTGTCACCCTACGCACGGACCTGGGGCGCAGCGAGTACTTGTCCTCCTTCGAGGGCGATGCGATGTTCGTTTCGAATTCGTCGTTGTTGTTCGGATCGGTGTAGGCCATCTCCGTCAGCGGGTGATTGCTTATCAGATCACCACCGTACTGCAATAGTGAATCCATCAATCGATGATCATACTATATTTTGTAAATAGTAGTAATAGTAGATACTACGGGGACGCACTACGCGACGCACGGGACACTTTGTCGATACTCTCTCTACAAAAGATGTTGAGGGTGTTGTTTCTGTTAGCTGATGTTAGCCAGCAGATAGATGTCTTCTCCTCTCCTCGTGTTTTTTTGGAGCGTCTTGTCCGCTGGACCGCGAGCTGGTCACTGTTTGATGGTGACCAGGTACTCACTACTCTCCGATACTCGCGACCTGCCCCCACCTGCTGAACTCCTCTCGTATCCGAGATCGCCCGCATCAACACAATACCACAAGCTCTTTCGGCTCTCTTTCACTCCTTCTCTTCCAAAAAAATCCCCATCCACGGGATGGAAAACGCAATCGCACTTTTCCCCCTTTTTTTATTACCAAATCTTCCAAAACCAGAAAGATCCGTCCGTCCGTATTTACTCTGCACGAATCCGCACGCATCATCCCCGGGCATCATCGAGCAGCCTTCGTCGCCATTTAATTTCGATGACACGGCGAAAAGTAACAATCCGTTACCACTTACCTGTAATGCACGTACAGGTTTCGCGTGATTATAGGGAGTGCTAAAATAATAATAACCCGAAATGGCAGTGCGCTTTATTATCCGGATCATCCGGTATTACGGAGATGTGACGAACTCCATCAGTCTCGTTTACAAATACTCACTAATAATACTCGCAAATCCTCAAATAATGATTCTCAATATACTCAAAATCAAATCTCTATATCAATCTCTATTCTTCAATACATCTTTAAAAATACAATATTTTTAAATATCATGAATATATCAATAAATATTTGTACGTGTATCTTATTCAAATTTCCAACGAAAATTCACATTAAATTGAAATCTCAATATATACCTTCAATGAATAAATACATGATTTATAAATATTGATAGTTGGATATTAAAACAATTTTGGAAACATTATCTGTTCGTTTCTCCATTACATATGTCCACTAAAGACCACATGGTAGCTAAAGACAGGATTACGAGAGGTTTGAAGTTACATACTAAATTCAATGAAAACCTGTTTACTTTTATTCTTTTCAGATTTCCCTGTAATTATGACCATTCCATATTTCAAAGAACGCTCATGAGATGGGCGTAAATTTACAATTACGATCGTGTTTCCACATAATTATTTCATTTAACCAGCACACTAAAATTTAATAAACAACATATTACAGAAAAAAAAATCTCACTTGGATTTATACAGACGCATTTATAATCAAACATAATAATTAATTTATTAAATGAATAAAGAATGATCGTTTTACAAAATTGATTAAAGATAAATGGACGTAAGTTGCGTAAGTTAATCTTTATTTGGGGAATTTCAATTTGCATTTAAATATTTCGGCCGTTCCGTTCTGCACACCTTCGGAGATTGTCGAATTTCGTATATAAATCTGGAGACAATTGCATGTTCTTTTTTTCTCTCGTTGCCTTCTTCGTCGTTTTGCCGTGTATATATTTTCTTCTTGGTCGTTCTTCCTTTTTAAGGAAGGTTACGTGGTCATACAGACTTAAGATTTAATAATGAAAATTCGAACTGCAGTAGAAAGTAGAAAGCTAACTGCAATGATATAATATTACTAATATAATTGTACTTACATTAAAACAATAAATAACTATAATTATTTTGATAAAACAGTATTTAATAGTCAAAACGTAATCTTTTTTTAGTTAAGATAATTTGGACATAAATTAATGTTATTATATTTATACTATTATCATACAGGTAAATTTGTATTATTATGAAGACTACCAAAAAAAGAATTTAATTAGAAATCAACAAAAAAGTGAAATCTTTAAACACATTAAACAAAACTTTTTTAAATGAATATGTTTCTTTCTCCCTCTATTTGAATATCAAATAAAGCAGAAATATTAAAACATTTCGTTCCACATTAATTCTAAATATGCAGTGAATTGCGTTCGCTTCTGTTGATTTTATTTTATATAATCGCACGCATATTTGCCGGCGGCCGGCGTTGCGTAATAATTTATATCAATTAACGTAATTTGTCATGCTTTTCTTTTGCTCCAACTATATGATCCGGCCTTCTTTGCGCCTTCGCCTCCTTATTCATTGTGCCCCCATAAGCTTTCTCTCGCTCTCCTCACGTCTCATTTCCTCCATCTCCTTTCATCACCGAGTTTTCCTTTCGGGGACCGCCTGGATCCTCTCTCGAACACGCAACGGTGGCCTCCGCATATTAATTAATATTAATTCATTAAGGAACGGGTTTAATTAAAATGAAGAATTCCGTTCGGCCGCTTTCCGCGAATTCGCAAATGTCACTTGCGATGGATTTCGCAACGGCTTGGCCGGTTTCATTCCCATTTTCCAACACATCCATTCAACATTTTTTTTTATGAAATTGTTTCATTAATTTTGCTTTTATTTTGTATCTTATTTTGTTGATAAATTTTAATTTCGATTTTTTTTATAAGAATTTCAAATTCTGGATAATTATAGTAAACAGTAGTAATTTGTTTTATTTAGAACTTGCATTCAAATATATTTTAAGTAAACCTAAAGAAGTTAATTAAGTCTACTTTCTCTAAGAATTTTATTTAATTTCTTATAATTTACATAATATTATTATTTATTAACAAACTTTATTATTTATAATATATTAATTATTTTATATTACCTTCACTTGAAAAAAAACTTATTATTCAAATTAAATGATGAACCTATCTTAACTTCATCTAAAATATACTTAATTTGATTTTCCAAGAGGCTAAAAAGCATTTATTAGAAGATTTCTGAGAACAATGTTTTCCTGATTTAAGCGGAATTTTCAGTATCACAATTAAATCAGATTCTTATATAACACATAGAGTAAACTAAAATCTCTAATTTACATATATAGCTTTTAACTTTTTTTTCAATCATCATATTATATTATAAATTACTGCAAGAAGTAACTAATTTATTTGAATTTCTCTAATTTTATAATAGAATTAAAATAATACGATTAAAAAGTACTTAATTGAATTAAAAATGAAAAAAGTTTTTTTATAATTAATTATATTTGCAATAAAATCAAGAATTGTATATTTTTATATTTAATGTTAACTGCAAACTGATTGATTTTGTTGAGCTGATTTTTGTTGATTTTATAGGATATATGAAAATTTTTGTTAAGGAAGTTATATAATTTTATTTATAGAAATAGTAAATTCATGCGAATATAGTAATAAATATGATTATAGAAAACGTATATTCTAAGAGAATATCTTGATGGAAATTACTCAACATGAAACGATATAAATATAAATTATAAGCATTGCGTTTTTTTGTTGTTGATGCATATATAATAAATTACTGCGGTTTTGCTATTAGGAATATACGGTTTATTATTGGAAGCGCTCGGGGTCCTGAAAAATTCGTGTAATCTGTGGAATTCGCGATTGCAGCGAAGCGTATTCATTCGGAGTCGATGTAAGTAAGCATCGAGGAGTCGGCTGGGATTGTAGAAGACGGAATATATTCCTGTTTGGTTGTGTTTGTCGTTAGGATTTTGTGATTTAAAGAGTAGCCGACGGTATGAGAGATGCTACCATAAGTGCGTGTGTGTATATATATGCGTATAAATACATGCGAATGTCTTTAGGCAAATTCATTTGGCCGCTGCTGCCGCCGCCGCCGCGCGCATCCAGGAATGGGCAAAATTGTGAAATTTCTTTGTTCTTTGCCGTCCGGCCGTGCAGGTTATTTGCTCAATAAATTATCCCTCGTCGCATTTAAAAGACAATGGCTCTCTGTCTGTTTATACCTTAGAGGTTAATTAAATTTCCACAAATACCGATAATAATATTAATTTAAATTTATGCAAAGGACTCTTTGTTTCGTCGCATCCCTGCGACGCCGATGGACAGAATCGACTGAATTGTGTATGTTCCATCTACGAACAAGCGCGTGGGCGTGCATATTGCTGAAGTCGCTAAAGTCAAGGAAGATGCAATTACATCCTTACATAATTCTTCATACTAAATATGCCATAGTCATTGATTTCCTAGAAACGTACAAGATTTATGTATATTTTAAACTCTTTCAATTTGTTGAATTTTACTAAAAAATAACTTCAGAAAAAAAGAAAAAAATACAAAATTCTATAGAATATTTATATCTATTTATAGTTCTTTTAATTTGTTGAATGTTTTTAATAACTTCAGAAAAATATTTTGTTGCCTTATATAATTATTAATCATACAAAACATTCCATCATATCCTCAACGTAGAAGATATCTGATAATAACTTTAGAAAAAAATGAAAAAAATATTTAGTTGAATATTACATAATTCTTCTTATTAAATATGTGGCACTTATTAATTTCCTAGAAACGTGCAAGAATTTATGTATATTTCAATTTGTTCAATTTATTGAATTTTACTAAAAGTAATTTCAGAAAAACAGTAAAAAAAACATATTGCCTTACATAATTCCTCACACTAATTAACTTCATAGAAACATACAACTTTTAACACTTCACTCAATAAGTGTTCGTAGGATGGCGCCTCTGTCGACAAATCCATGATTTTTAGGAAGTACCAACATTCAGACGAAGTCTGTCAAAATTTCATGGCAATCTGACCTTTAGTTCATAACTTACAGTGGTTTTAGAAAAAAAATAACTAAAAAAAATACACAGACTTTTTGATTTCCTAGAAACGTACAAGATTTATGTCTATTTTCATTAACTTCATAGAAACATATAAGTTGTTTGTCTATTTTCAATTCTTTTAATTTGTTGAATATAAAAAGTAACATCCGAAAAAATTCATTGATTCTCTATAATTTTTATGTTCATCTTCAAATCTCAAATAATTATATATGAATTATAAAGTTCTATTATAAGAAACTTCATAATTATAGTAAATATAAACAGTTTTATACATACCTAAATAAATGGTCATAACATCAAACATACATAGGTTTGGTATTTGTTTGCGAATTTTCATTTAGACCCAAGTATTTCCCTCTAAAAATATTTTAATATATAATGTACATTTGCACTTTCTACATAATATTCAAAGTCTAAAATTTCAAATAAAAAAATTCAAATAATTGACCTTTCATAATGTAAATTTTCATTAGGAA